TATATATACATAAATTTTTATAAGTGATATGTGTTTTAGCATGTAGAAAATCTTAAGACGTAAGACTTAAAGCAGAAAAGAAATGTGTGCAATGTCTTTCCCAGTTTTCATTATTAACATTGATTTGAATCTCTTTTCAACATAATGAACACATTCTTTAATAATATATTCTGTAAAAATTATAAATACAATATTTGAAATATGAATAAAAATTAATGATTAATGATTGATTATTATTTTTTAATCAACTATATTTGATTATTATACTTTAATAATTGACTAAATTAGTTGTGATTATACTACATTAATTATTACGAGCATTGCAAAATAGTAGAGGACTTTTCTACTCAGTTTAATCTGCTCTACCTGCTCAGAACGAGAAGAAAACGGGGCCGTATATTCATGCTACCCTGTATATTTTAATTATTAGATATTTCTGTTTTTTTTATTTAAAGATTTAAAAAATGGACTTCAATAAATGCCTCTTTGCTTCCTAATTACTTAAGAGATATAATTTTTTATTAATTCTATCTCCATTTGTTACAATCATTTTTATCAAAATATTCTTATAAAATGTGATCTTTATCATAATACTCTATCTCAAAATACTTTATCTCAAAATATCTCTTTATCAAAATGTTATTGTATCTCAAAATTTAGAAATTAATTGAAAAAATATTTGGAAAAATATTAATTGGAAAAATCTTTCTAAAAACATATACGTATACGTATGAAAAAATAATTTTTTAGTAATTAGATTTTTATTATAAATTTAGAGAGAATAACATCCTTCTTTTGTGTTTACCTCTATAAATACAGCATCGTAAGGTGGATCCTTTGGTTTGGCTAGTTCTTTAATTTCTGGATTTCCTAATAATTCACAAAGTTCGTTTCCTGCCCATGTCGAAACGACGTTTATTGGATTTGAGCTAAGCATTTGATGCATTATTTCAAACGTCACGTTGTTCACCAAATGCACATCTGTTGGCAGTATCACGATATCGGTGTAATTTGGATAAGGTTTCTTCAGAGGAAATTTGCTGACTATGTCGACTTGATGACCCTTCTTGGCTAGGCCCTTCATCAGCTGCTCGATCATAACAAAATGACTTTTACCATGAAAAGGAAACATTCCGAGAAAACGATATCCATGGCAAATCGACAGGCAAAACAACAAAGGAAAAATCACTAGTAGCATTCGCATTTTTTATTCGTATTATTATATATAAATTTCAGTCCAAACCACCTAAAAAAAAAAAATAAATGAACTGAATTAACGATTAATTTAAAGTTATTAAAACTTTATTAATTTGTTGTACCTTTATAATTTCTTTACCCCCTTTTAAATATTATATATTTTAGATTAATATAAATTAAATTAAATTTTTATTTTAATTTGTTAATATTTAAATTTTAGATTAAATTTTATCGATAAATTTTTAAATAAGAGCATTTATAACTAAATAAATCACACACTTTCATTATTACTCCATATTCCTGCACGTTGGTGCATCCAATGACTGACATTTATAGATTTGTATTATCATTTAAGTTACATAGATAACATATAGTGGGGAGAGACTGTTGCGTGTATTTAAAGACATATGTCGCATAATACTATTTGAATTTATACAAAATTTGTACATGTGCTGTATCATAAAATATATCATTCTGAAATCAGTTTGCAGTGATCTTAGGTAATCAGGAAAATAACATTTAATTGCTATTTGCAATTGTCTGTCATCAAATGAAAGACAAACCAAAATGCTGATGATACAATGTTTTCTTTATTAATTTTCTTTTCATAAACTTAACTTTAGTTTAAAAATTAAGTCATCTGTAATGATAAAGTCATAAATTTACAACTGAATAAATGAATGATTATATAAACAGGCGAATAAATGACAGTTCAAATAATGAGCAATTTAACTTATCTGTAGAAGGGACTGATAATAAGCAAATCCTATTTTATTACTTTTTATAGTTTTCATATTATATAATCTTGTGGTAATTGTAAAAAGAAGAAGATTTTTACTACGTTTTGGATAGGAGAGTACCAATATTTACCAGATTTATAGGTATCCCAAAGAGCAATAAAGTCTAAAAGATGACTAAAAGGCAACTAAATTGTTACAAAGATATCTTTTAATAAAAGAATATAGTCGACGAAAAAAGATGATTAAAAGACGACAGATGTTGCACTGTTTTGCACTTATTTTATAGTCTTATAATATTCATGTGATAACTAAAGGATGACTTCTTTGGATATTTTTTAGTCATCTTTTATATTTTGATATAATATAATGTTTAATAACATCGAATTCCTAAATTAATTTTTACACAAGACGAAATAAAATTGCATGACTCATAATATACGTCTCATTTCTTGCAATGTTTGTCGTGTCCTATGTGTAAGATTCATTATCTTTCATCATAGTCCCCTTTAGAGACTCAATTATAAAAAAATATTTTATTAGTAATAAGATAGGAAACAAGACCGTTTATGTTAAATAACATTATTTTAAAATCCGAAGCACCACTATGGTCTGAGTATTGAGATGTTGAACTAATATATATATTTTCAAACAAATGAATTAATTTCAGAAATGATAATTATGCCGATATGGTTGTCGGCATTAACGCAATTGATCTGAAATGTTAATAATCCCCTCAAATTTCTCAAATTAATCTTAAACAACTTACTTAACTCTTATTTTATTAGTGTTCATTAGAACACGAGTAAAATTTCTTATTGTGCTGCATATTTTATTCTGTTCTGTATAATTTTCAAACGCGAGAAACTGTACTCTATCACGTCCATCTGGCGATCTCGCGTACCGTTTGCGAATGAGTAATAAAAAGTATCAAAATAACGAAAAGATATTTTTTCTATGTTGTAGGCAATACTTTTCGGCAATACGAAAAAATATCTTTTAGTCGATCTTTTGCTTTGCGAAAATGACAATCACAGAAAGATGACAAAAAGATGTCTTTTTTAAGTTATCTTTTCGACAAAACTAAAAAATGTCTTATACATACCTTTTAGTCTTGCTGAAAAGACAATCTAAAAACAATGTCTTTTCGTCATCTTTTAAACACTTTTTCGCTTTGTCAAAAAGACAATTTAAAAAAGACCTCTTTTCGTTATCTTTTAATATTTATGCTGTTGCTCTGGGTTGTTATCACATTGTATATATTAACATGTTATATTATGTTTGATTAACAATAATTTAACATAATTACATAATTATATATCCTTGGGGCTTCCACGGGTGCTTTCTATATAAAGATTATGCGTTTCGCGGGTTTCGTCCGTGTTAAATCTATTTTTGGAAGGCATTCCAAGGAAGTTTCAGGAAGAAACCTGCGAAACACATAATCTTTAATTATAGTATATCAACAAGTAATAGTTTGTAGCAAGAAGGTACATAAAGTATTAGAGAGGGAGAAATAGAGAGAGAGAGAGAGAGAGAGGCAAAGAGAGACAAAGAGAGATATTAATTATATACAGTGTATCGTTACATAAGATAATGATTCAATAGAAACAAACGCCAAAAGGTCTATATAACACAACACGCGAGATATTACTTAATGTTAGAATCAAACAGTTTCGTGATAATTTGAAAAAATGAGGTACCTAAATAAAAAACAGGGCATTTTCTTTTTTCCTTTTTTCTAATTTTGATTAGCAACATTTATAATAATATCTCTATCAGGCTAAAGATTAAAATTGAAATTGGGGGTTGAAATTTGATCAATCACATGAAAGTAAATAAATATCAAATTTAGCAAATTTAGTCAAATTTCGATTCCTTAATTCTTTAGTAGTCGAAATAATTTTTAACAGTTAGAAATTATTTTTTATAATATTTATAATGTATGTAAAAAATTATTTATAAATAAAAATAAAAATTTGGTTTACATAAAAAATAAATTTATTAAAATGTGGGGAAAATTAACTCCCACGCGAACACTGTTAAAAAAATTCGATTACTAAAGGATTAAGGAATCGAAATTTGACCAAAATTTGCTAAATTTGATATTTATTTACTTTCATGCGATGATCAAATTTCAACCCCCAATTTCAATTTTAATCTTTCCAAAAAAGAATCCATATTTTTAAAAATATTATTTTACGTATATATACATATGTATTTATATATAATCGGTCTAAAACGCCTTCCGATACTGTCCGATGCCTAATTTTCCTAATTGCCTAAAGACTTATCGTGATCCTTACAGTCCTTTTCGTTTAGATTTTTCATGCTCTGCCTTTTTTATATTAAGTGTAAAAAATGATGAAATAAGATTCTTTAATATATAAGGAAAAGTACACTGGTAATGAGAGTCAAGTGCAGTAATTGGAACGCAATTAAAAAAAATTATCATTGATTTATTAATTAATAAATAACAAATGTTTCGCCATTATCAGTGGATACATTACTTGTACATATGATTATTGTCCCAAGCTCCACTTGGAGTTATATGTATGTCTTTCACAATGGTTGCAAGACCAAGTGATTTTGGAACGAGACCATACTCATTTAATATATTTTAAAAGAGACTTAATAAAAAGACTTACCAAAAGGAGTCGAGATTTGTGGTAGAAAATGATCAGCCGAATTAACAAGCTCGACTGTGTTAATATGTTAAGAAATTTTCTTTTATAATATTAAGAAATTTTTTTTTATATATAACGAAGATATGTGCGAATATTACAGCCAAAATGATATTCTTTTTTTGTATTACTTCTGTCATATGCGTTCTTCCCCTTCTTCAACATTTTAAAAGTCGCCATTCTAGAACTCGTTTTAGCAATTTTTTTGAATCTAGCATTCGTCATAGGTATGTTCATATGAATTGTTTCTTATTGATATCATTTAATGTTCAATGCCTTCAATGCCCATCTGATGTTTTATGTTTTCATTTCTCTGTCCTTCCATTTTTGATATTTTTAGAGATCTTCTCATTGCATCCATTTCCACATCTTCAAATTACCTTCTATACTTATCTGTAACTCTTCATGTCTCATATAATAACTTTTGATCATTATTTCATAGAACTACTTACGTTTTCTCAATATGTTCTTATTCCAAAAGATTTCTATTTAGGCAATTTATAACTTTTTTTCCTTTTTATCCTTCTTTCAATTTTTCGGTTGTCTGTATAGAATATAGATCACTGTTATTCATATTCTCTACAAGATCGAATCTTTTCCCTGATTTCCATGAATAATTTGTCTCTCTGTGCCCACATGTATAAATATTTAGTCTCATCAATATTCACTATGAAAGAGTCCCTAGTTTCTGTATTTTTTCAGTAATTTTCTCATAACATACCATATTTCATGTCCTCTTTATTAGTTATTACCACTTAATCATCGGCAAATTGTAAAGTATAGAGACAACTGTCATTAAGTTCCACACCCATGCTGTAAATCTGTCTCTTCCACATTTTAAAGGTTGCAGTTGCATAGATTTTGAACAACATTGGTGATATGCTACATCTGGTGAAAATTTTTTTCAGAATTTTTCATATAATTTTTTAGAATTTCTATATGATTTTTCAGAATTTCTCTATAATTTTATAACTTTTTCACATTTTTTATTGGAACATTTCTCAGAAAATCTACATCTTTTCTTCAGAATTTTTCATATATGTGTTAATTATGAAATATAATAAGGTTTTCAAGATTTTGTAAGTATAATTTTTAAAATGTTACAAAATCTAAAAAATTTAAAAATACTTTTTAAAAATATTTTTTAAAATGAGAAATTTCAGAATATTTCAGAATTCACTTGTATGAAAAGTTTTGAAAGAAGATGTAAACTTTCCGAATATTTCTGAGTATTTCTGAAAAATGTTCCAATTCGTATAAAAATTATGAGAAAAATTTTCACTAGGGTTGTCTTAAACCCTCGGCAACAGCAAACTTCTCTGTTACTTAAATACTTTTCTATTTTTATTCTTGATGGAATTGTCATATAGGTTTTGTAGAGTCTTTATAAAAGTATAATTTATATTTGATTTTCGCAATATCATCCATAATTTGATGACTGATATATTATCATATGTTTTTTTAGAAATTCATTCAATGTTATGTGCACAGCTGTTTTTTTTTCAGATAATTTGCATTACACAAAATAAGTAATCTGTACATAATCTTTCTCCTTACAGTAACCGACGATGGAGTAAATACACATAAATAAAAAAATACAAATAAATAAAAATGATCGAATACATTTT